CAGCCTCTTCCCAAGCAGCAGCTTGGGGGGAAAGTGTGGCTACAGCAGGGACACCCTACGCCCGGCCAGGCCCTCCAGCACGGCCATCTTCCAATTTGTGGCATCGGCCAGGGGGGGAGGGGCCACAGAGCTGGTGCAGATGCTGACAGTAGCAGGGAGCGAAGGCAGACTGCCTGCTCCTGGGAGAGCTGCCTCTGCCCTGGTACGGGTGAGTGGGGCTTCCCCTCCCCACCCCGAGCAGCACTGTGCTCACAGACCCCTTCCCTCCCTCTGGGACCACTGTCCCCCCTGCGCCACCAAGAGAGGCTCTTCCCTCTCTCTGCACCCAGAGCTGAGCCCGGGGCCCAACCTCCCCATCAATCAACACCAAGAGAACACAAGCAGGATCTATGCAAAAGTATTTTTATTGGATACAAAAACATTCCAGTATAGTGAAAAAAAAAAATGACATCATTGCTGATGGAGCTTGTCTGGGCTAAAACCCGAGACTTGTTGCTGTCTGCTCCGGTCCTGCCGCAGGCCATCGGTTGCCCTCCCGTTACATCTGGGCTTTCTTGGCAGCTCCGTCCTCAGAGGCTGGTCCGGGCTGTGGGGCTGCAGGGCTGACCTGGATGGGCACGTTCCTCTCCGGGGCGGCCGGCAGTGCCAGCCTGGGGGCCTCGATGCGCAGCTGCCCCTCCTTGGACAGGGAGCACGTCAGCGCCTCGGCATCCACCTCCTCAGGCACGTCCCACTCCCGCTTCAGCACCTCGTACTTGTACGAGAAGGAGCCCTTCTCATCGACGTTCTGCGTCTCCTTCTGTCCCACCAGCACCACCTTCCTGCCCACCACCTTCACCGACAGCTGCTCAGGCGCAAAGTCCTTCACATCTTGGCAGACGGAGAAGCCTTCCCCGGAGCCCTGGGGCAGGGCTGCGCTGGTGCTGGGGCATCGCTCAGCAGCGATGCCGATCCGGCCGGGGCTGCTACCGCTGCTCAGGAACTGCTCGAAGCTGCTCATGAACTCCCGAGCTTTCTCCATCTCCTGCTGCAGCTCAGTGAAGATGGTCTCTGCGTGCGGCCAGAGGGTCCTCACCGTGCCCAGCCGGGTGGCCAGGGAGCTGGAGGCGAATGGTGCGAGGTGCATTCTGCAAAGCATCGCTGCTGGTGCTGCTGGTGCTGCTGGTCGTCTCCTCTCGGAGCGCTCTGCCCCGACGCCGTCGGCCGCGGGGTTTATTGCCCTTCCCCGGAGGAGGGGCCTCCCGTCGGCCGCGGGTTTTATTGCCCTTCCCGGGAGGAGTGGCCTCATCCCGCACATCACGTCATCCCCGGGAGAAAAGCTCAGCCCTTTCCAGCCCGTTCCAGCTCATTCTTATTACTCACCCGTGAGGAGAGGCACCTCTTACGTCCTGCCCAGCATACCTTCGCCCTTAGTCTCGCAGCTCTGCTCTCCTGGCTTATAATTAGAGCATCACCTCAGCCTCCGAACGGGATGCCTGAGCCGCCCCTGCCAAAAATCTGTGGCCTTTCTATTTCCCAGGCAGGGCGCAGGGCTGGGCTCCTCTCCTCCCTGCATTCCCTCCCTCGCCTGTGTCTGTCCCCCGCCATCTGCATGCAGGAGAGCCCCTCTGTCCCCTGCCCCTTTTGCAGGACCCTCAGATGCCCGGGGGGGACCCCCAGGTGAGACCAGGAACCAGCCCAGGTGGGGTGCTGAGGGGCTGGGACAGGACAGCGGGTGGCCCCTGGGGCGGGAGGGGGG